ATCGCCTAAAAGCTGCATTTGGGCATTTCAAACTTGTCTATGAATTTCTTGTGCAGATTTCATGGTATTGTGAGCCTCAACATGCAAATTCCACGGCAGGCCAGGCGCAGCACTTTGTGAATTTTGTGGCAGCCGCAACACTTTGTGAACCTCGAAGTGCAGATTGCGTTGCAGGCGCAGCATTTTGTGAACCCGGAAGGGCATATTCCGTCGCAATCTGTGAATCTCTCATGTGGGTGCTCTCATATGTGCTCACTCACACCAGGTATTTCATATTGTGTGCCCTCACGTGTGCATGTGTTCTCACACGTGCTCCTTTCTGTGGTCTCTCAGGCGTTTGCTCTCATACGTGCACTCTCATTATGTGCTCTCACATATGCGCGCTCCCATGTGTGTGTGTGTGTGTCCAACCCTGGACAAAGGGTCTTCCACCACCACTCTTTCCACTTTACATGAGCAGGGGGACCAGGCATCTCGCTGCTGACCTGGTCTAACAAAGCTGGGCAGCGAGATGGGAAGCACCAAAGGACGCTTTGGTGTGTACCTGCCACAACTTTTGAAAAAGCTGTCCAATCTCCTTTTTTGTTTCCATGGTGGTTCATGATACCTCCCACAAACCATTTCCCTTCCGCATTGCAGCCGCTGAGCCACCGATCGTCAATCGCACTGCGCTGATCTTTCACTGCAGACTTTAACAATGATTGTTGAAACACCTACAAGTTCTTCGGACCTTTCGCCATGCCGTTCCATCACCCTCCTTCTCACCGAGACAATTGCGTTAACTGAAAACCCAAGTTCGAAGTGTGTCCCGCTCAGCCGTCCCACTCGGGTGCTGAGTGTGATCCCCGTCACAGGGGCGCCGACCTTGCATGGGAAAGCAACCACCCCAACGCACCACCGCTCACTGGACTCTCACAGGAAGGCACCGACACCCTCACAGAATCAACTGCCACACCGGCCGCCGGGCCAAAAAACGGTTCTTGATGAATACTTCGGATTCCAACTTTCAGATTTCAGATTTCAGCATTCAGATTTTTCATGTCTTCCACTCATGTGCGTGTTTCCATGTTTGCTATGTTGATGCCGCGATTCCTTCATCGACAGAACTCAAGGATGGGCATTACAGCTCTTCAGCTTAATTCGAGATGCATGAACACACACCTACCAACAAGCTCACATCTAACACCACCTTACAACATACTCACCATCGACACCAGAGATGACACCTTCAACAACAAACAAGACAATACAATTCGGCACCTCCCCGCTGCTTTTTGCTGCCGCGCCGCGCCGCGCCATAGCTACGACCACGACATGCATTTTCCGTGGCCCTATGCTCACACCACGCCACCACCATTACCTACCACACAACCTCAACCCACATGGCCGATGCCACAACCATCAACTGCACCCACTTTTCCCCCGACACAACCATCGGCATACCCTCACCCACAACCACAACCATTTCAACCACCACCGTTTTTGTCCAACCCTACCGCCACTGCAATGACCTACGGCACACCATCCACTTGGACTTTTGTCCAACCATGTCACGTGCCACCGCAGCCCACACATCCAACTCCAATATTCCCGACAGCAGCACCTCCCCCTTCATACCTGTTGCCACCACATCATCCCACACCACCGGCTGAACTTCCTCCCCCCACTACACTGACACATCCCCCTCCAACACAGCAACAGACTGCGATTGCCAATCATCCATCCACAGACCCCCAATCCGCCATCCCCCAGGGCGTTTGGCAACCCTATTCAGCTTTTCCCCCCGTCACACAGCCTCCACTCCAACCGTTGCCCCCGCCACCGCCTCCACAAACCATCAACGCCTCAACACCAGTCCAACCTCCACTTCAACAGCAGCCACCATCGGATCCAACACCACCAATCCAACCCATCCCCACGACTGCCCAGGACAATCCATTGCCGGTCCAAAACACGCCCCCACCAGCTACCGTATCCCAACATTCAGCATCCCCATCGCTAGTATCTGCCACACCAGCGCCTGGATCTTCACTACCAGCACCAGACAAACCTGACACCACTGCCTCACCAGCACAGCAACCACCTTCCCCGCAACCACCACACAGCAGTCGCCGCCACCACCACAAGAGCCGACGCAAGTCCGACCATCACCACAGAGGACGCCACCGCCACCGCCGCCGACATCACCATCACCGCCACTCCAAACATCACAGCACAACCCGGCGACGGCGGTCGCCTTCAACATCCACTTACACATCCAGCCTTACGACATCCCGCAGTCGCTCACCACCACAACCCATTGATCTACGCCCTAACACCGAACACTCCAACCCAGACCCCTCTCAATTTCCCACCACAGCCGTCCTCCGCCGCCCAATCAACCGTTGGCGACCTCCACCCAACTTTCACACCTTTACACCTGCAGACCAAATCCTGGAATGGCTCGAATTCCACGCCACCCAACTCGACAATCCCAACCGACCACAACACCAGTACATTGCCAATATCCTCACAGACTGCAACATCACCTACAAGGAGATCACCGATTTCCGACAATATACCCACGCCAAGTGGAACGACACAACTCACCAATACGACCAATTCCAGTACTACGCCATTTCACTTCCCTTCCTCAACACTAAAGCCACTACACCAGAGCCACCTGCGGTTTCCCGCGCCACATCAACCCACCGGGAAGTCGCCCACATCAACGCAGGCCACACAGGCCCCGTCGGCAACATTTCCAACATTCTACGCCAAGGCAGATTTTTACCCAGCACACTCCACTTTGCCAACTACCCTGGATTTTTTGCCCAGGGCGTTCGCATCACCCACAACCAACCCCATGACCACAACGAACTTGCCCGCATCATCCACAACACCTGGCACCTCCACAAGAATTCCCATTCCCTTATCATCACACTCCTTGCTTGGGGTGCTGCCACAAAATATACCTCTGGAGGTGAGGAACACGCCATGAACCTCCTTAACGACCACCATGGTGCAGTCTTTCATCAGAAAGGCCGCTGCTGGGTGATCCACCCGGACCACGCCATTGTCAAAGGACTGGCCTGGTCCACCAACTCCACTCCACCGGACCCATAACACCACTACCACACATCTACACACCACTACCACCTCCACATCCACTTTTGGTCTCACACCACCACCCAACCTTTGCTGTAGCA